TGCATCAATAATGCCTAGCCCAAGTAGACTGCAATAGAGAATACCTGTTGTGTTCATGGCACTATGTCAGAAACAACATGAAATCTGCAGTAGAACATAACTCACAAATAAAACGGACAGACAAGCCAGCTCCATTTTATCCCTTGGGACTATACATATGTCCTGGAGCCTTCAAGGAAAATTCCAGATCAGTGTGCTCCTTAACGCAAACTGTGTGCAGAAAACTCGAGAGATGTGGAGTCAAAATGGCTTATTAACTCAAGATATCCCTCGGTCAAGTTGTTTTCAATATACAAAGAAACATTTTCAGATTCAGTTTGCTTAGGCTGAAGAGGTAGATGAAGAGAAATTTGAAAGTTGAAACACTTCAGCCAGTTTATGAGCCTCTTCAGAAGATCTGCACCACTGACAACAGGTCTTGGCCAAACCTGATGGTGATACCCACACAATTCCTTCCAAAAAAATTAAAAACCTATTGGTAGGTTTGACCAAACACATTTGTTTTGCATTTCAGATTAGAACATAAGTTATTCAACTAAGATATATTATAAACAAAAGTCGAAAAGATTGCCCCCATTGACAACCTTTGGTGCCAATTGGGGGTTAGTGAAGACTATAAAATTGAACTTGTTTGCCCTATGGGCTTACCATCATCACCTATATCAAAATAAAAAATCTGGATCTAATGCTTAGGACACAATACAAAAGAGACGGTAAAGAACGACTTCCCACGACAGGAGATTGAGCAAAATTATAACCTCTATAAATCCAAGACACTACAGCTTTCTCCAATTACCAGCTAAATTAGATCCTCCAAAACCATATAAAACTTTTGTTGTGTGGTCACTTTGCTAAATGCACTTAGCATTGCTTCAAAAAAAAAAACTGTCCACCCAGCACCCAGGTGGGTCCCTAGGCAGGTGCCCAGGGTCTGGGCCCTTTTTTGTGTAATAAAAGATGCCCCCTAAGGGTATTGTGGGTCATTTTGATCCACAAATTAGACTTAAAACAGTATTGGGGGTACTCTAAACCTGCAAAGTGAAAATAAAATCAAATCTAAACTCTACAAACACCCCAAATCGATTGATTACGCAAATTTCTTTGAATCAAAAAAAGAATCTTAGGTTTGAAGAAGCATCCTAATTTTAGGGTGCTAGTGAACGTATTAGAAAATTATGTCCATGTGCATGTGTCACAATGGAGTATGGATTGGAAAGTTAGAGAATAATACACCAGCGGACTTGTTTATATTTTTTCACTACATTTTCAACGATTTAAAGCTTTAAATGTGTTTTCAAATTCAAGCATACATCTTTGCATGCAGAAAGTGAGTTGGAATACATACAAATGCAAAAAGAAATAGAAAACACAAATATCTTCATATGTGTGTTGGACAGTACATACATGCATATTTTTATCAAATTTTCACCTCAGGCCTAGCCGCCTGCCTAGGGATTGGGGGCCAGGACGGCCTACCTAGGGACCGACTAGCATTTTTTGAAGCATTGATTTCTAGATCTAACCCTCAATCTTAGTGACTCATTTCACAAGATCTTCATCTTGTCCAAGGCCTTTACTGTCATGGAGACCTTTTTATGATCTATTCACCAATATAGAAAAGGAAAGCAAGAACATATACACTTACATAACTAACTCCTCTACAGTGTTTTAAAATGCGGGATGCGGTCCCGATATGGCGATGCAGCTCAATGCGGTCCAGATGCGGGTGCATCACCTCGATGCAGTCATCATCATCACAGCCTTTTCCCTACTAATTGGGGTCGGCTACATGAATCTCGGTCCACCATTTTGCTTTATTTAAGGCCATACCCTCAGTGAGGTCATAAGTCCCTATATCTTTTCAGACTACTTCCAATCACGTCCTTTTGAGCCTACCCCTTGTCCTTTTCAATCCTTTCACTTGAACTAACTCGCACCTCCTAACAAGTGTTGTACTGGGTCGACGCCACACGTGGCAGCCCACCTAAATCCAGTCTCTCTCACCCCGATGCAGTCAATAAATATAAAAACTACCAAAAAATCTGACAAAATAGGTTAATGCATGGAAAACAAAATGAAAGTGATTTATGTGATAGTGCCAACTCAAATATTATCAGCGATTTGGAGACTCTAAATACCCTAATAGAAGACGTTAGAAGTAGAAAGTAGAAACTTGAAGGTAACTTTACAAAAACATTAAAGGACATCATATGCTCAAACCTTAATCCTAATCAACAACCCAACAGCTATGAATGTGTAGACAAATCTATGCTCAAACTTCTTCAAAGTAGTGCCCAATCGACAACCCAACCGACAATGAAAGTAATCCGTTGATTTTGTGCAAAAAATAAAATTTCCACCCAAAATTTTCTCTTTTTTTTTCCAAAAAACACCACAAATGGGGCTGTTTTTTGTGTTTTTCCGTTTTCTTTTTTTTGGGGGGGACGGGGGGGAATGACCAAACTACCCATGTTTGAGGGCACTATTTTTTACCACGAGCGTGGGAAGGCTATGCGAGTACTAGACTCCCACATATGTTGTGGGATTTGCCGCATATGCAGGTGCATCACACCAAAGCGCATATGCGCCTCTAGGCAACGCACCTTGAGTCGCATAGCACATTATGCAGCCACATTTTAAAACAACGCTCCGACATCAATAACGAAAAGCCAAGTGCAACCAAGCATGTTCAAAAAGTCCCAATCCACATGATCATCGACCTTTTGCATATCAATACCGATAAAGTACTAGATATTCCATCTTCCCGTCTTCAAGTCACATTCTCAAGTTAAGGCTATAAAGGTGGACTCAATCCTTTAATCAGATAGACCTGTATTGGAACTATTTTGAGACATCTCATAATATCCTTCCTCGCTATATCATCATCTCGGAAAACACCATGGAGAAATATCAAATTCTCTGCCCCACTGAGTTAAGGCAATAACCCCCTTGAAGGAGTAGCGATGGGGTCCCAATCTTGCAGAACTAAACACTTCTTGTTAGCAAACCATGGGCCCCTCGTTCTGGCAATCTCCATTTCTTCCTTGCTCCCAAAACGGAAAACTAGAAAACCTTCCTCACTATATCATCTTGGAAAACACCACGGCGAAATATCAAAAGCCAAGAGCTTTATCCATCCCTCTTCCGAGAACTTCTGAATTCACCTCTTTTACCCAAAAGTTCTTCTTGAGCCCAACAATTTACTCCATTAAAATGCTACTAAATAAATGCCCAATCAAAGTTGGGCTTCCAACCATTCTGGGCCACATGACACACCCTAAAGAACATGAATATTGTGACTTCCACTTCACCTTGCTGTTAGAATCTACTAGTATTCTATATGATGATACTAGCAAGGGTTCTACCACACTTTATACTAGTCATCTTATGAAAAAAATTGTATTGCAGTCTCCTTAAGGCCACTTGACTCTCGTCTTCAAGAGATCTCCAATGTCAACATACTTATATGGTATTCTTCTCTAATTCTCTCTACTCTACTCTTTTAGCTCTTGTTCAGTTAAAGTTCAATACTCTATTTCTCGTATTTTATTTAACTATCTACTAAATAATCACTGAAAAATTATAACTCAATGCCATGGCCTGATCGTCAATGGTTCAGCAGTCAGCACAAAGGCACAATCAAATGGAAAAAACAAAAAGATGATAAAGAGTTTCTTCATGTAAGGTGATTAAGTAGAAAAAAGGGCATACATCAAGCCATTAGGTGGAAACCATTCTGGAACAAAAGGAGATGACAGTTAAAGCATACCATGACATATTTCTTTGCTTTGACCTGAAGAGAAGTATCATGCATAAATATGGCAAAAGATGACCAATTCCAAAAGTAGGCAATAAATTGTGCACCAAGTTTGAAAATATTTTCGACTATAAAGAAGGTTTCATCCGTATACAAGGACACTAATGAATAAGAAGTAGTGAACTACATGATACACGATGAAAAGCTAAACAGAACCATACGTGGATATCAACACCAATCAAATGTTCAACTCAAGGGCTTGCAATTTCTGGAGTTATAAATGCTTGAAATGAAAACTCAAATAGAATGTCAGATCATAGAATTATACTTTATATCATGCTTTACCCAGCATCCATTCATGGTAAAAAATCGAAGTGATGAAAAACTCCATGACCCTAAAAGAAACATATATTGCTTAGAAATGCATAACATCCAGGTTCTACTCAAAAAGCATGCTCATATATACATACAAATCTGCATACTATTAATCTGCATTCTATTTCTAAGGCTATGTGAAGCATACAATAGTTCAATGGTTCCTTCAATGGGGTCATCCCTTAGTCACATAGTTGACCTTGTTGGATGGGCTCAAACCATACCTACAGATTATGCATACAATAGTTCCCTGTTGGGGTCATTACTTATACACATTTTTAATCTTGTTCAATTGGTTCAAACATTAGTCACATTGTTAACCTTGGATTGATAGGTTTATACCTTAGTTAACCTTGTGCATGTGCAATCCCTTGTTCAACTTCTTAGCTAAGATAAAATGTTTTCACATTTGACATTTCCCAATATCATCATGAATTATACAGGCACTAAGGTGGGGGCGACGGAGGGATTGGTGTCCAGGGCGCCTAAGCAGGATTTGAACCCAAGACCTTAACACCCATGAACCGCATGCCACCATGACGGCAGATTCAGCAGTCTGAATTAGTGAATCATAATAATCTAGAACTCCTAAAATAAGTGAATTACATTTTAGGATAGCTGATTATCTACATCCTATTATATTGAGTACTGCTGAAAGCATTTTTCTTTTGCTGAATCAAACCTAAAAGTTATCATCAAATATAAAAATTTCTTCTTTTTCCTCACTGAATAAAACCAAAACGTATCAAATATAAAAATTTCTTCTTTTTCCTCACTGAATAAAACCTAAACGAACTACATTTGAGCACTACAAATATATGCCAAAAAACCACCACCATTCCAAGGAACAAACACAAATACGCAAAAATAAAAATAAAAATTTCCTGTACGAATGGAAAATTCATACTTCAAAAAGAAACCAGCAATCTATTTGCTAAAGGTTGTACAAGAGATAAAAGGAGCCTAAAATCCACATGTAATCAACAGTCTTTCTATTCATTTTCTTATTATTTTTTTCACATCCTTTACTCAGTTAATACTGTTTCCATTCTCAACCCCTAGACCATACAAAACACCAGCATATTTCTCAGTCGATCCATTAAAGAACGACTCCTTCAACTTCCTGAAGGTACAAGAGGTGAGCAAACTATCTGATCCAGCTTGGTGGCAAATTCCAATCCTCTCCACATCGAGCAATTCAGCAAGCTTGTTCAATCCACCATGAAGGCTATTGCAAAACTTCATCAGATGCTTGATATCATACACAGTGGGGAAATACATATTGATCAAGCCAAAGAACCCAGCTTGAGTTTCAGGCAAATTCTGGCAAGTCAAGAGCTTTAGCAGATACCCAAAATCGTAACCACTGTGAAAAGTGACCCAATGAACTGTATCATTCAAAACTATGCCAGATGACATGAGAAGCTCTCCAAACCTTTGGGCATCAATCCCCTTCTCGTTGTTCTTCTTAAAATCGATCCCGCTTTGCCTGAGCAATTCTATAGAATCATTCGCATAAACATCTTCAAGGACATTGAATTCCCTGAAATTGAATTGCCAGATATAGAACTTATCGGTTCCACAAGTTGGGAGATTGCCGTCTTCATCAGAGAAAGTTAACCCTAACTGGATCAGTTTGAGCATGTCCACGTTTGCTTTTAGGGTTTTGTAATGAAAATCTGAACTGTTCTTGAAATTACCAACAGGGCGAAGAACAATGCCTGGAAACTCTGTATCCATAGCGATGTAGGGGTAATCATCAACTATTTCACGAATCAGCGCAAACTCATCCTCTAGGTTATCGCCCCATACCTCTCTAATCAGGATCGTCTCGTTTTTGGGCAAGATCGACATTTTTCTTAAGCAGTTGCAGAGAAAGAAACCCTATAAATCAGGGTAGTTCCAAGCGGTCTCACCAGTGAAACCCTTCGTCAAAACAGAGAGGAAAACCCAAAAGGGACGGGAAAACATCCGAAACCCTAACGGATCTGGCGGAAGCTGAAGCCCTAGCTCTTCTGGTGCAGCGAAAAACAGAGAAATATGGGAGAAAAGAGGCCGAACGGGGGCGAAGAGTCGCAGAGAAGTAGATCTGAGAGGTGAGAAGCGAGATCAACCGCGAACGAGAGCCCTGAAACTAGGGTTGGCGCGGCGATCTCTGGATCTAGGGTTTTTTTTTAGAGAGAGACGGAGGCGGTGGAGAAGATGAGACAGGGCTCTGTAAGGAGAGCTTTTAGAGAGAGAGATTGCATGGATTCGTAGTAAAAAAATTCGGCGTCTTGAAGGCCGAATAAGATTGAGGGATTTTAATCCCGTCAGGGTTTTTAGAGAGAGAAAGAGAGAGGGAAGAAGAGACCCGCCTTTTTAGAGAGCAAAAGAGAGAGGGAAGAAGAGACCTGCCTTTTTAGAGAGAGAAGACGACGCCAAAACCAACAGGGGGCAAGGCGGCTGCGAGGACGCAGTTTTGGTTTTCTCTCTCTATAATTTTCTCTCTCTAAAATCTCTTTTCCCTTATTCTCTCTCTAGGTCTGTCCTTTCGCACCCACTAAGAGAGCGTTTTAGAGAGAGAGAGAGGGAGAAAAGGAGGCCCGAGACGATGGCCCACTTCTGTTGAGGAAACAACGTGGTGGGCGCCGGTTACGAGGATTTTTTGGTTAAAGAAATGACTGAAATACCACGGCTATACTTGGAAATATCTAGAAGGACCTTTATTTTAGATACCGGAAATGCCCTAGGTTATGACTGCCCCCGCTTATAAAGTTAGAAACCTAATTATGGCTAGAATTGGTAACGAAACGTATTTTGAAATCATTAAGGTGAGTTTGTTCGAGACACGTTCCTCAAACCCTTGCATCCCAGGAGCAAGCCGCATCTCTAAGTTTGGAAATCTCAATTTTTATTTTTATTTATATTTATGAAATTAATTTTTGAAAAAAACAATATAAATTGAGCACATACATATTTTATATATAATAAATTTTAAAAATAGATGGTTTAGATTATTTGTTATAAGACAAGAGTTCTTGCCTACTAGGGACGATAAGACTTCTATTTTTTTAAGGGTTTTAACACAAAACATAAGCATTCTAAGTATTATTTTTAATAAAATTGTGTAGAGGTGCCTAAGTGAAATGATCTTATTAACAATTTTACAAGAGGTATTCCCTACTAGGGACGAAAAGACTTCTATTATTTTAAGGGTTTTAACACAGTATAGCCTACTAGGGAGGAAAATACTTCTATTATTTGAAGGGTTTCAGCACAGTATAGACATTCCAGGTATTATTTTTAATAAAATTGTGTAGACGTGCCTAAGTGAAATGCTCTTATTAACAATTTTTTATACAAAAGTTGAATGAGTGCTGTTGGCGTTTAAAACTAAAAAGAATAGAATGTTTACCTAAGTTAAAACAATTTAAGGGGCATTATTTGCTGTAATAGTATTCATTTTAGTACAAAGAGGTTGCGAAGAGTTTTTGCCGCTAGACGCAAAATCTCACAAATAAAAAGTCGGTGTCAACATTTCATAAATTTTATTTTAGACTATGGGTCTAGTCAATGATATATTTCGAACTTCTCAATTTTATATCTAAAAGTTAATAATAACCGTACTAAAAGTAAATGTTCTTATTACGACAACTTCATACTTAGAGTAAATGGCCTTATTATATACACGGGTGTAATTTGTATAATGTTGAAGTTCTAAACAATCAAAATAAACCGCACTTTCAAATAGTGTGGAGAAATGTGGTTTCAATATTGAAAATATTTATGATAGCATTAAAATATATTTTTATTTTAATTACAAAATTTAAACCTTAAAAATGGTGTAGATCGAGCATATCTACAAAAATTTGAAAATCTTGAAAATTGATGGTCCAAAGATACGTTACAAGATTCACTATTTCCAAAACTTGAAATCCATTTTTTTTTCTAATGTCCATGCATCTTGATGTTGAGATATCAATTTCAGGATATTTGAGCATCAAAACAACCTAGAGAGGTAGACTCTAATTTCATTGTTTGGAGCCTCAGCTCTATATAAACTTTTTTCCTAGATATATATATATATATATATATATATATATATAGTAGTAAAGTAAAAAACTAAAAAAATAGAAGTAATAATACTATACTAGACGTACTACGTAAGGTAGTATTATACTAAAATTACTAGTAACTAAACTAAAAACTTAACG